AATTCATTGAGTGATTAAATCAGAGCCTTCAGGATTACAGTCATTTTCTAAACTACCTTCAGTTGGGGAACAAATGTTCAACACATGAGCCTTTGGGGAGAAACTTCACCTCTGCTTCTACTTTTTGCTGGTTAAATGGAGATAAGCGTCTGGTGGACTTTTCTGCCAGGGCTATCTTCAAACTGATTCTTAGATCTCAGCCTCATGATCAGCTAGGCTTACAGGCGTAAGCTTTCAGCGCCCAGCAATAAAAACACATTTTAACGTTTCAAAATCAGTGCTACTATGGCAATATCAGTGCTAAAAGAGATTAGCCTGATTTGAATAATTTGTTGGGACAGGAGGTGACAGTTAAATTGTGGCCTGTATGATAAGAAAGGTAGCTGTACAAAGAGAAGGTGGGAGAGAAAAAAAAAGTTCCAGAAATCACCTGTGTTCAGTACTAAGGTGGAAAGATCAAAAGCCTTTTCAACAAAGTGGCTCAAGCCTGTAATGTTAGCTACTAGAGAGTCAGAGATTGGAGGATTACATATGGTTCCAGGCCAGCGGAGGTGGAAAAAAAGTTCACAAGATTCCCATCTCAACCAATGGCTGAGTTTAGTGGCACATGCCTGTTATCCTGGCTACAGGGGAAGCACAATGGCTCAGTGTCACACACCTGCCATCTCCAGCAACCCCAGAAAGCACAAATAGAGGCTTATCAGGGAATAAACTGTGACCCTACCTTGAAAATAACCAGTAGAAAAGGGGGCTGGAGGTGTGGATCAATTGATAGAGTATTGATCTGGCAAACATAAAAGCCTGAGTTTAATTCCCAGTACTGTCAAGAAGAGAGTTCAAGGCCAACTGGTATAACAGAGATAAGCCATCTGGAAAAGACATGGGAAGAGGGGAGGATTTTCTCCAGGATTAGGAATAGCACCCACAAAGAGGGTAAGGCAGGGATAAACTTGCTGTAGAGACCAGGCAGAGTGCTATCAGATGAGGGTGCAAACCCTAAGTTCAAACTCTAGTACAAAAAAAAAAACAAAACCAAAAAAACCCAACCTTTGAACTTTGGTATCTCTTTACCTTTGCTAGACACATGTAATCAATAGTGAAATCTTGGTTTCTTACACCTGACTCTCTTTCTCTGTTCCTAAGGATTGAACTCATGCCCTCCTTACCTTTCACCTGTCTGATTGCAACAGCCTCACTCCTGCATCCACAACCCACACACTATTACCATTGGAAAATTCCCAAAAAAGTTCTAGCCATGTTCCTTCTCTGCCCACCTACCCAGAAGTTTGGGAGTTGAAATCTGCTGTGGCTCAAACTTGTTCAATGATACCTAATGCTTTCCTTTCTCTGTGTTATTCTTCTTGGATAACATTACTGCTGCCAGTCCTGAGGCTTGAACTCAGGGCCTGAGCACTGTCCCTGAGCTTGTTTGGCTCAATCCTAGCACTCTACCACTTGAGCCATAGCACTACTTCTGGCTTTTTCTGTTTATGTGGTACTAAGGAATGGAACCCAGGGCTTCGTGCATGCTTGGCAAGCACTCTACCACTGCATTCCTGGCCCTGCAGTTAGTCTTTTGAAGTAGTATGCAGCCAGATTTTTAAAAATACTTTAAGTGCTTTACAAAAGACATGATTAGGGGCTGGGAAGGTGGCTCAGTAGTAGAGTGCTTGCCTTGCATGCATGAGGCCCTGGGTTCTATTCCTCAGCACCACATAAGCAGAAAAAGCCAGAAGTGGCACTGTGGCTCAAGTAGTAGAGCACTAGCCTTGAGCTAAAGAGCTGAGGGGTAGTGCCGAAACCCAGAGTTCAGGCCCGATGACTGACCAAAAAAAAAAAAAAAAAGAAAAAAGATTATATTATAAAATATGATGAGATTTTTTATTTTTAATGATTTTTTAAACTTTATGTATTTGACAAAACTACATGATATGATATTATAAATCAGGTATGACGGTTTGCTTGTGAAACCCACCACTGGGGAAGACTAAAGCTGAAGGATTGCAAGTTTGAGGCCACGTGAGGCTACAAGGTAAGTCTGAGGCCAGCCTTGACTACATACTGAGAACCTGTCTCCAAAAAATACTAAGAAACAGTACTTGCTTCGCAGATTATGCACTAAAATGAGACTAATACAGAGAAAATCTGCATGGTCCTTGTGCAGGACTGACACACAGATTCTTGAAGCATTCCATTTTTTAAATGATAAAGGACAGATTATGTTATATGCTCCCTTCAAGGCAAGCATCATTCTTGAGATGTACTTATATAAATATCGCAAACACATTTTGTGCCCAAAGGAGTCATTTTCCCACTGCTGGGTGCCAGTGGTTCACGCCTGTAATCCTAGCTACTCAGGAGGCTGAGATCTGAGCATCATAGTTCAAAGCCAGCCCAGGCAGGAAAGGCTGTGAGACTCTTATCTCCAATAAACCACCAGAAAACTGAAAGTGGTGCTTTGGCTCAAGTGGTAGAGTGCTAGCCTTGAGCTGAAGAGCTGAGGGACAGCACCCAGGCCCAGAGTTCAAACCCTACGACCGACCAAAAAAAAAAAATTCCTTTCTCAGTCTCAGAGCATACTAATCAGCTGAGTAAACAGGCAATGTCAGGGGGGGGGAGATGATTTTTTTAAATTTAATTTGTTCTTGTGCATATGTATGTGCCAGTTCTGGTACTAGGGACTGTGTGCTGTCCCTGAGCATTTACACTCAAAGCAAGCACTTTACCCCTTGAGCTCTACTTCAGGCTTTTGGCTGGTTAACTGGGGATAAGAATCTCATAGACTTTCCTATCCAGGCTACCTACAAATTGCATTACTCAGATCTCAACATTCTGAGTAGTTATGATTACAGGCATGAGCCACTGATGCCTAACCTGTATTTAAATTTTAGTATTTGCTAAATGTTGAGGCTTATATGGAACTGTAGGGTTTAAGATAGAAATAATGCGTCTGTGCTTTTAATTGTTATTAATTAATATAATGTCTGAATTCCTGGCTTCTCTTTCCCATGTCACATTTCCTCTGACTTATCCTTCCTCAAAACCAGCAGGAATCATAATTTGATTCTTAAAAGCTGGTCAAAAACCAGGAGGGGTAGCTGCCGAGTCTTGAGATGGTCAGTTTTGGAGACACAGAGGAACATCCAGTGGATAGTGAGGATAGAGTGTTTGTCTTAAATATGCCATGTAGTTTCCTGCTATATGATGCATTAAACTTGATTGACCATTTCAAAAAAAAAAAAGCTGGTCAAAAATGCCAGGGCTGGAGTTGAGAAGGTGGCCCAGTGGTAGCGTACTTGCCTTACATGCTTGAGGCCCTAGGTTTGATTCCTCAGCACCACATAAGCAGAAAAAGCTGGAAGCGGCCCAAGTGGTAGGGCACTAGGCTTTGAGCTGAAGAGCTGAGGGATAACACCAGCCCAGAGTTCAGGACCCGACCCCAAAAAAAAAAAAAAAAAAGCGCAAAACCAGGGCTATCAGAAAATTAACGTTATCCAGAACCTTAACTGTTAAGCAACCTTGGAAAACTCAGTGCAACCACTTAAAAATGTTTATTAAACCAAACAACTCAAGATTAGGTGAATGGAAAGAGAGTAGAGGAAAAAGAATGTAGATCAGAAAAAGCAGCCTCTTCAACTCAAGACCAATGAGCTCTAAGGAAACCTGTAACTCCTCCAATACAAAAATGTGCCCAGGAATCCTTAAGGTTACAAATGACTTATTTGTTCATTTTCATTAAGCATCAACTATGTGCCAATGAAAATGGGCTTGGGAGGGAAAAAAAGGAAGCTTATAGAGTATCCACTGGGGGAGACTTCAAACAATCACACATACATAATGGTACACTGGTAGTCAAGATAACTTCATTTAGTCTTAAAATATGTATATTTTTTATGGACATAGGATTTTGCTATGCAACCAAGGCTGGCCACAAATTTTTTAAACATTTTTTATTATTATCTTTAAGTAGTTGTACAAAGAAGTTCCTATTCTGGCCACAAATTTTTAAGATCCTTCTGCCTCAGTCTACCTAGTACTGGGACTGCATGTATGCATGAACCACTTCTGGATTAAACAACACAACTACAATGATAAAGCAAACAATATAGTTGCTGGGGAAATGTAGAAGAGGGCTTTACCAGGTCTGATGGGAAGGCCTTGAGACTGGCTGTCCAGGCTGAGGAGTCACCTAGGTGAAGAGCGAGAGCTGGGGAGCAGCCTATGGCAGAGGGAAATGGCAAGTATCAAGAAGAAGCCTAGTTCAATCCTGGGGCAGGGAAGAGGGGGCTATCCAGTATAGAGAGTTACAGACTTTGTTATTGAATAATGTCTGTTTCAATCCCCAAATACCTCTTTTGTCCCTGTCACCTAGAATCCTATGCCTAACAGCAGATTTGGAAGCATTGTGCACACATCCCTGCAGTTTTCCATTAAACGCACATCAGGAAGATAAAGTTAGTCCATTAGCAAAGAACGCATCAAAAAAAAAAAAAGCCTGTGTCAAGCTCAGAATGGAACACACCATATTATCTAGTGCAAATTTACATTTTGTAAATCACGGATGAATTCAAGAACTGTGTATTTACATTTTCATTTAAGGGCGGGGGGAAGCACATGGGAAGATGCGGGCACAGGTAGCATGCACCTGCAAATCTCAGCAACTCAGGATGTAGAGGCAGGAGTTTCAGGGGTTCGAGACCACCCAAAGAGGATATAACTAGTCCCTCTCCTTACACCTGCTTCCCTACTCCCCCTACCCCCCCCAAAAAAAAAAGGGGTGGATAGGAGAGTAAGAGACAGACAGACGTCAAGAGCTATTTTTTTCTTGTGAGAAGGCTGGGAAAGCCTCTCAAGGTGGCAGAGGGAGCTCCTCCCCGCCCCCGCCCCCCCCTCCTCCAGCGGGCGGGCGGGGCGCGCTCGGCCCGGGGATTGGTGGCTGGTCCTCGAGGAGGCGGAACCGAGCGCGCGCGGTCGCTGCGGGCCCGCGGACCGTCGTCAGTGAGGCACCCGCGGGCCCGGAAGGAGCTGCCGGACGAGCTGGGGCCGCGGCAGCCATCGCGCTTTTGCAGTTCGGTCTCCGAGGCTGTGGGGCCCACGCCGAGCCGAGAAACGCGTCCGCTCCGGTGGCAGGTGGGTGGGGCAGCCCTTCCTTCGGTGGAGGTTGGCAGGCGTCAGGCGCAGGATCTCGGGGAAAGCGCACTTTTGGGGGGCCGTCGGAGCCTCCAGAGGAAGGGGGGGGAGGCGTCTGTTTTTCCGCCCTGGAATGAGGCGGCGCGAGGCGGGGTGGGGTGGGGGGGGACGTGGGAAGGGGGGGGTCCGCGCGGGGGGCCCGACCTGCCGCCCCCTCGGGCGCAGTGACTTCAGGAAGGGGTCGCCAGCCAGCTTCCTCCTGCCCCCGGGCCTCAGTTTCCCCCACTTGGCTAAAGTGGAGGCGGCGGCGATCGTTGACAGCTGGACGGGCTTCGATGCGGGGCTTGCTTGCGTGCAAGCTGTGTCCCCCCCAGTGGAGGGTAGGCCGAAGTCCCTTCCTAAATAGCTCAAGACGGAGTGGGTAGCTCGGTGAGGGGGGCGGGAGATCAATGATAACCCTGCTGGTGAGAGGGTGGGGGGTGGGGGGGGCGGGACATTAAGGATTTACAAAGTTCAGGATTTCCCAACAAGATGAAAATGTGTTTGAAAAACCAAGAAATAGATTTCACTGGAAAAGCTTTTTTTTTTTTTTGTCTCTTTTTAATATTGGGTCCAGTGGGTAGGAAAAAAAATCAAACCTACTCTTGTTTATATTTGCATGTTCATACATCAAGCTTCATGTTGCCAAGTAGTCTTACTTCGGAGAAGACTCACGGTTCAGTTACAGTTTTGATTGAGAGTAAAAAGTCGAGCCGAAGCAAATGATAGAAGGAAAGGAGAAAATTGTGACGGGAGTGTTCAGGCCCTACTCCGGAAGCACCACAGTACATCTGTTTTTACAGACGATGAATTAAGAGAGGTTTACAATTTGTCAAATTTGTCACTTAACTAGGGGGGTCATGGTAGAGCAACGTGTGCCTTTCATTGTTCTTTTTCAGTAGATTTGTGTTTGTGGCTAGAATATTTCAAACTTTAAAAAATTTTAAGGTAACACCTACCCAACAGTGTGACTAGTTCCACCTACTCAGGAGGCTGGAGCTTGGGGCTGGGGGCGGGGTAAGGGAAATCAATCACTTGGGCCCAGAATTTGAGGCCAGCTTGAGCTAGTAGCAGGACCCAGACTCAAGGAGAAAACAGTGTTAAAATTTGGAGGTACTTCATTGGTATTTTCTGAGTTTATATAAAATAAAAGTGCCGTCTTCATTTTTAAACAGCTTAAATGCATTTTAATTGGGCACTGGTGGCTCACACCTGTAATCCTAGTTACTCAAGAGGCTGAGATCTGAGGATCAGGGTTTGAAGCCCCACAGGGCAGACAAATCCAAGAAACTCTTATCTCTAGTTCACCAGCTCAAGTAGTAAAAACCCAAGTGAGAAGCCCTGAATTCAGTCCCCAATACCATAAGAAGTGCATTTTGGACTGGTAGGGGGCTTGCCTAGTATGCATGAAGCCCTGGGTTCAATACCTCAGTACCACATAAAGAGAAAAAGCCAGAAGTGGTGCTGTGGCTCAGGTGGTAGAGTGTTAGCCTTGAGCAAAAGAAGCTCCAGCACAGTACCCAGACCCTGAATTCAAGCCCAGGACTGGCAAAAAAAAAAAAAAAGTGCATTTTAACCTTCTTTTGCCTTGCAATATTGTGCTTGAATAAAAATTCAAGCAGCCAGACACCGGTGGCTCATGCCTGTAATCCTAGCTACTCAGGAGGCTGAAATCTGAGGATCACAGTTCAAAGCTTGTCTGAGACTCGTATCTCCAATAAACCACTAGAAAACTGGAAGGGGCACTGTGGCTCAAGTGATAGAGTGCTTGCCTTGAGTTGAACAGCGTGGGGTCAGCACCCAAGCCCAGAGTTCAAGCCCATGACTGACAAAGAAAAAAAAAATTCAAGCAAGACATGACACAACAGATTAGTCTATCAGAAATAGAAATCACTGCCACATCATTCCAAGCTTACACACTAGAATTCAATAGTCATGATTCATTTCTCCACTCCCTTCTTTAAGTACACAGTTGGCTGAACTCATATAAATTTTTCCCTGAGAAAACATTACTGAGCAGGTAATTTTTTAGGCAAATAATTTTTTTTTGGTCAGTTGTGGGGCTTGAACTCTGGGCCTGGGCACTTGCCCCTGAGCTCTTCAGCTCAAAGTGAACACTCTACCACTTGAGCCACAGCACCACTTCTGGTTTTCTGGTGGTTAATTGGGGATAAGAGTCTCCCGGACTTTCCTTCCCAGAGTGGCTTTGAACTGTGATCCACAGCTCTCAGCCTCTTGTGTAGCTAGGATTACAGGCATGAGCCACCAGCACCTGGCTCTTAAGCAATTAATTTTTAAATCACAGTATTGAAAAGTTTCTCTTGCTTGTGTATAGTTTTTGAAACATATGTCTATAAATCCAGCACTCAAATGTTTTGAGGATTGTATTAGTCATCAAGTGATTTTGATATTCTTAGTTCAGTACACAAGTTCAGGTTTAATACTCAGTCTCAAAACAACCTATGTTTTCTTTTTGTGTGTGTGTATGTGTCTGTGTGTGTGGGGGAGTAGTTATGTCTTTGTGTGTGTTTGTACCAATTCAGGGGCTTGAACAGGATTGGATGCTGTCTCTGAGCTTTTGTGTTCAAGTCTAGCTTGAGCCACCGCTCCACTTTTGGCTTTTTGGTGCTTAATTGAAGAGTTTCATGGATTTCTGCCTGGGCTGGCTTTGAACCAGGATCCTCAGATCTCATTCTCATGAGTAGCTACCTGCTCCTGGCTGTGGTTTTTGTTTTTTTTTTGTCAGCTACCAGGCTTGAACTCAGGGCCTGGGCACTGTTCCTGAACTCTTTTGCTCAAGGCTAGTTAGTGTTCTACCACTTTGAATCACAGCCCCACTTCTAGTTTCTGGTAGTTTATTGGAGAGAAGAGTCTCACAGACTTTCCTGCGTGGGCTGGCTTTGCACCATGATCCTCAGATCTTAGCCTCCTGAGTACCTAGGATTACAGGCATGAGCTGCCAGCACCTGTCTTTAAAAAAAAAATATTATTGGGGGGGAGGATGGGAAGGGAAAACAAAGAAGGAGGCTACAATGCTTGATAAGAAATGTACTCATTATCTTGCCCATGTAATTGTAACCCCTCTGTACAGTATTTTCACAATAAAAAATTATTATTATAGAGGTGATATACAGAGAGATTACAGTTACATGTCAGTACATATGAATACATTTCTTTTTGACTTTGTCACCCCTTCCCTCGCTCTCTGTTTTTCCCTCCCATTCCCCTCTACAAGTTTTATAGTTCATTTTCAACACAGTGTAAATTGAGCACCACTGCTTATAGTTTTTTGTTTTGTTTTGTTTTGCTTTTTTGAGATAGGGTCTTACTTGTGCAACCCAGGCTGATCTCAAACTCTCCAACATCCTACCTCAGCCATCCAAGTGCTGGGATTACAAGTGAGTACTACTATGCCAGGCAAATATTATGTTTTGTTGTTTCAGAGTAGTGCATTGTCTCTGAGCCTAACACAGGCTAGGCAAGTGCATTACTACTGAACTACATCTGCAGCATTTTGTTTTGTTTTATAGATGATCCTGCCATATAGCCCAGGCTGGCCTTCTGAATGCTGGAATTACTGTGCATACGCCACCGTGCCTGGCCAACCTTCTTTTAATATAGTTTTTGGTGTTGTTACTTTGAGGTTTTTTTGTTTGTTTTGTTGCTTTTCATACTCTGGAAAGAAAGCTATATTTGTCACGGTCCTAATATTCCTTCACTTGAGTGTCACTTCTAAAGGAAACTTGTGTTTTTGATTTCTTGAATGAGGCTAAAAGTTGAGTTAACTTGTAATTGTCATTTTTTTTGTGGAGGGTGACTAGATAAGGTTTATTTGTACTCTAGTTTCAAAACTTTAAAGGCTATAGAAAAAAATCCAGCAGTTATAGGAGAGAAAAATTATAAAGCCAGTATGGTTTTGAAACATTCTATATATAGGTTATGGTTCAGCAGACCTTGGCCTTCTTTGTGTTTCTAATACTATTTAAATTTAGGAGGATTCATAAATTAAGCTTACAGATAGAATGCTGATCTTGTAGAATTTGTTCATTTTTTAAAATGGTAAGCCTAGAAGCCTACAGTTTTTTGTAGTGAGGGCCTCATGCTTGCTTCGCTTGCTTGCTCAGCTAGCACTCTACCATTTGAGCCACACTTCTAGCTTTGCTTTTTACTGCTTATGTTGGAGTCTCAAAAAGTTTTCTGGGAAGTGGCGCTGTGGCTTAAGCGGTAGAGCGCTTGCCTTGAGCTGAAGAGCGCAAGGACAGTGCCCAGGCCCAGAGTTCAAGCCCCATGACTGACAAAAGAAAAAAAAGTCTTCTGTCTGAGCTGGCTTTGAACCTTGATCCTCCAAATCTCAGCCTTTTGAGTCGATAGGATTACTTGCATGATCCACTGACATCCCAGGAAAATATAAGATTTTAAATGCCAATTTGCAAAATAATGTATTACATTTTTGGGGAGCAGTAGGGCTTAGAGTCTTACTATGTAGCCTGTGTTGGCTTTAAACTCTTTTTTTTTTCTTTTTAAATTGTGAACATACCGTACAGAGGGGTTACAATTACATGGGCAAGGGCTTTAAACTCTTTATACTTCTGCCTCTGTCTCCTGAATACTAAGATTACTGGGTGTGTGTCATCACACTCAACTTAATAGTAACAACTTTTAGTACAAAAAAAGTTTTAATGGCATTCTGATTTCACATCAAATATTAATATACTATCACTGATTCTCCAGAAAAGGAAAGAATAGTTTCCTTCATATCAGATAGAGAAATTTCACTACAAGAAATTAACTGGAAGGTAGATTCTGGTTGCTCACACCTGTAATCCTAGCCAGCCAGGCAGGAAAGTCCATGAGACTCTTATCTCCAGTTAGCCACCAAAAGAGGAAATGGAGCTGTGGTTCAAGTCATAGAGCACTAGACTTGAGCAAAAAGGCTCAGGGACAGTGCCCAGGCCCTGAGT